GAGTTGAGAGTGGACCCAAACATATCAAGTATGAATACAGACCACGCATGGAAGATTTTACCTTATGCAGCTGCAGCAGCATAGGTTTAAAATTGAGAGTGTTGGAATCTACTCAAGTAAAATACAGTAATGGACTGCAATCAAGAAGAAATCCAAAAGCTCTGGATCAGATGCATGCGTGTGTGCCCGTAGAAACTTTGCAGCAGCCTCCAGGAGTCCATGAGGAGGCCTGATTCAACTGGGTGGTTGATATTTTTCTGAATATTATGTGATACCTTTCATGAGCAGGGCTGGAACTTTAAACATGATCAGAAAATATATAACCGACAAGATGACCACAGTATTTCCACACACTGCATCAACATGAAGGTCGAAATCTACAGCTGTGAAGAATGCTTGTTTTTTTTATAGTCATAGGATCATACAGCACAGACACAAATCCTTCAGTCCAACCAGTCTATGCCAAACATTATTCCAAACTAAACTTGTCCCATCTGCCTGCTCCTGGCCTATATCCCTCCAAACCTTTACTATTCATGTGCTTATCCAAATTTCTTTTAAATACTGCAATTGTACCCACATCCACCACTTCCTCAAGAAGTTCATTCCACACGCGAACCACATCCGTGTAAAAAATTTGCCTCACATCCTTTTTAAATCTCTCTCCTCTCACCTTAAAGATGTGTCCCCTCGACCTGAAACCCCCCATCCTAGGGAAAAGACAACTACCATTAACTCTATCTATACCTCTCATTATTTTATAAACTTGTATCAATTTATTCTGACATGAATCCATATGCTGCTTCACAAATAGGATTCAACCACTGTTAAGCGCTGTGTGATCCCAGCACATTGCATGCCTTTTTCCTCTATTTGCATATATTGGACAAGAGTAAAAAAAATGGCGAGAATACTGATATGACTAGACCATTGCTGGTTAGGTAGGTCATTTCTAGGGTTGCTAGTAGCTGTTTAATGCAGCCAGGAAGCATTTAATTAAAGATTAGATGCCATTCTGATGCAATTGGAGTTCAATTCAAGTACTACAGTTTGGTTTGTGGCTCAATTACCAATGAACTGGAAGAGCCAAAACCCAAGTTTCAGGTCATGGCATGCTGTCTCGTGGGGTTCATGCCAGGTATTATGGTCATATTATCAGATATTCTGTAAACAAAGGAATATATAATCTCAGAATTGCTATGGCACAGAAGGAGGTCATTCAGCCCATTATATCTTCGCAAGCATTTCACTTAGTGCCATTTTGCTCCCTTTTCGCTGTAACCTTGCACATTTTCCCTTTACAAATAATCTTTTAATTTATTCTTGATCGCCTCAATTGAGCCTGCCTGCACATGTTCACCGGCATTGCATCCCAAAAGCTTTTGCCGAAACCACTTTTGCTCCTTGTATTAATGACTTTAAATTTGTGCCATTTTATTCTTGATCCTTGCACCATCAAGAATGTTTTCTCCCCACCTACTCTGTCCAAACATTTCACCACTTTGAATACTTTCATCAGATTTCCTCTGGGCATTCTCATCTCAAAGGAAAACAATTCCAACTTCATGATTGATTCCACAGATGACAAATTTCATTCTTGTAAATATCTTCTGTACTCTCTCCTAAGACTTTGCATCCTTCTAAAAGTCCAGAACTGAACATCATCTATATGCAAAAAGTGGCTCAGATCATTGGTTTGAAATGGACTGGGCAGTGGGCACACTGAGCACAAAGATAACAGATAGCAAAGTACTTGTTCCACTGCTATCCAGGGGAAGTCTGAGAGATGTCTGAAAGTGTGTACCACGGGTAGTCTGGCTATTTGCCTTTAGTCAATGGCTTTTCTGGTTTTCCAAACAAATATGAATCCTCTGTTTACTACTTCATTAAATGCAAATCAGGAATTGCTACATTATAGGTGACAGAATGGGATGTTTGTTCGAAAACGTTATCTCCAAAGAGAAGATTGAGACAGTTTTCTTGAACAGCCTTGAGTATTCCTGGGAAGTTGTTCTGGTGGTACTTTTGGTGCTACATTCTAATATTAACCCGAATGTTTGTGATGCTGTCCTGGTACTGTGAGAAATGGAAATACACTTCAAATGTTTGAGGTACTTAGTGAGATGGCTTTTCTCATGCAGTTCTTTGCGTATTTCTAAAAGATGTAAAACTAAACTTGGAGGTGTTTTGGCAGTTTGAGGCAAAAGGATCTGAGATATTGAGGAGTGTGAAACTTTTGTGCGTAGGTGTCTAAACAGTTAGTACAGTGCTTGATTTCTCATAAACTGCTCTACTATCAACATGGAACAAAGGGACGAGAGAGTGAGAACGCTGTCATGAATGTTTAATATTTCTCTTACACTGCAACTCACATAATTCATGGCTGATTAATACATCCGCCCTGCACAGCATATATTAAAACTCACACAAAGGCTACATAAATATAGAGCAATTGAGTTTTTACAATGTTTTACAATAAAATTTAATGCTTTCTAGAGCAATAAATAATAGTGTATCGAACAGGTGTAACTTAAAATCCAGCATGGAGATTAATTTTGTGAAGGACCTCAATACAAGTGGTAAATTTCAAACTTCGAAGGATGTTCAAGTCTAAAGCAGTGGACTAAGGACAACATCATAATTTTTAAATTGTCACTTGTAATCTATTACTTATTATTTTCAATGTCAAATGCCTCAATTTCACTCAAACATAATATTATACTATGGACGTTGAAAGTCTGAAATAAAGACAGGATTTCCTTTGCGCTCTCTCATTCCGTCATACCAGCCTCCACATGTAAGAGATTATCCTCTACCATTTCCACTACCAAACACATCTGCCCGCCCTCTCCTCTTCTAGCATTTTGAAAGAACTATTCTCTCTATCGTATTACAGTCAACTCCTCTTTAAAATTTCTCCACCTCCTGGGCTCAAACATTCCTTCCTTGAGGAACTACAATTTAATTGCACCTTTTTCAGGTTAACATACTGGATTTGCTGCTCACATGGGGTCTCCATAAGCCCATAAAATATAGACCATTCAGTCTGCTCCGTCATTCAATCACAGGTGATATGTTTCTCAGCTCCATTCTCCTACATTCTTCTTGTAACCCTTGATCACCTTGCTAATCAAGAACCAAGATATCTCTGTCTTAAATAAATTCAAAGACTTGGCCTCTGCAGCCTTCTGTGGCAAATGGGTTCCAGAGATTCACCAGCCTCTGGCTGAAGAAATTCCTCCTCATCTCAGTTCTAAAGGGTCGTCCTTTCACTCTGAGGCTGTACCCTCAAATCCTAGTCTCTCCTACTCGCAGAACCAGCTTCTCCACAGCTGCTCTATCCAGAACTCTCAGTATTCTGAGAGTTTCAATTAGATCACCCCCTCATCATTCTCAACAAATATACATCCAGAGTTCTCAACTGCTGCTCATATGACAAGTCCTTCATCCCCGAATCATTCATGTAAACCTCTGCGGACTTCCTCCAAGGCCAGTTCATCCTTCCTTAGATATGAAGCACAAAACCGCTCAGAACATTCCAAATGCTGAATAGTGGCAGATCAATTGCAGATTGGGTGATTTATAGAAATTCTCTGTTCAGTCTGCAGCATGACCCTGAGCTTTCTTTACCTATCAACATATTCTCAGCCCTGGTCTCATGTCAATCTGTCATTGTCCACTTCGACTGTTCCGACAAAGCTCAGTATAAGCTTGAGGAACACATCTCAACTTTCAATAACTCAACATGGGCTTCAACAGTTTCAGATTATAACTACTGCTTCCACTTTTTCAAACAACAAGCACTGAATAGGATTCTGCTTTCTCATTTACCCATCTTTTGATTCTTTATCTGTTCCATTATCATACCTTTTTGTTTTGCGTCTTCATTGTTAACCATTTAATCACTCCTGCCTTCGAACCTAACACACACTTTCCTTTTGGTTCTTCGATTCCCTCATTCCCTGCCTTTGTCCTTGTTTAAATCCTGTCACATTTCTAAAATATTCAAGATCTGATGACAGGAACAAAAACAAAGTTGCTGGAAAAGCTCAGCAGGTCTGGCAGCATCTGTTAAGAAAAAAATCAGAGTTAACGTTTAGGGTCCAGCAACCCTTCCTCAGAACTGAGTAAGGATCTCCGGAACCGAATCATTAACTTTGATCTTTATTCACAGATGCTGCCATACCTGCTGAACTTTTCCAGCAACTTCTGTTTTTGTTTCTGAGTATGCTAGTCAAGTTAACTGGCTCAGATAGATATAAAACCATCTGGCTCCTCCAACTGATGAACACAGGTATTACACTGTGAAATGATCAAAGTCTGCTGTGTGTTATGAGGAAAAGACAGTTTAACTAGCTTCAGTCACATATATTTAAAGGATATTAACAGATACAAATATTTTCTCTGTTGAAAGCTGTCCTTCTTATTTATACAGAGTTCACACTATTTACAAATACTACACACTAATTCCTTGATGCAGTGAGTTGAAATCTGTCACTTCAACACTTGTGCAAATTTCCTACACTGGTAAATGATCTCATGCAGGTTATAAAACAGAACATTACTGCACTGAATTATAACCCAGGTTCCATTCTTAAATGCCAAAAGTTTAATTTCCTCCAAAATATACACTTGCTATAGATTTAGATCCCAACTAGTTAAGTGATAATTGAATTAATGTAGCAGACTAATCACAAATCTGAGATGTTCGACTCGCATCTCTCAAGGGTCATGCTATTATATTTTGGAACAGCAACCAAACATGCAAGGTGGGCAAAAAGAACATGAACCAATCAGATGTATTTTTAAAGTATTTTTAGAGGTCTCCTAATACTGTTTCCAAATGAATTTACTAAATTTAATCAACCCAGATGAAGTTAGTATCTGTAAAATCAGCCAGAAGATTAAAGTCAGAATCAAAAGCATACACATTCCAGTATTACTGAAAAGGCTGCTACAGATAATCAAATAAACAACTCTTTATCACATAGTGTACTTACTCGCAATCGGTGTTTGAGTTCCTTCACCTCAGCACTATCCTGCAGAAAGTCTTCTTTGTCAGCTGCATTAGCCAGGGTATCAACTGCACTTTCAGTATCCTGCAACCACCCGAGACATCCCTCTAACTCCTGCAGCAAGTTCTGTAGCTGCTTCAGTTCATTCTCCAGCTTTTCAACTCTCTCACTGGCTCTAAGGGAAGCAACAAGGACAACACAGAATATCAGAACAAATGGCATGACACTGACTGAAGAACAGGCGCAAAACAGAGAAATCATAAAAATATTACAATTCTCATTGAGAATCTGCAAGTTTAAATAATAATTAAAATTTCAAGCACCTTTGACTTGTGACAGAAACTATCACTAATTTTTTTCATACCAACTGGAATTAAATATCGGTTTTGACATTAGGTACACCCGTGTATTAAATCCCTTGTTACTTAGACTTGCCGCCATGTTCCTTACTCTGCCAGTTCTTAACCAGGCCTGTTCACTGTAATTCTACCATTTATGCAACATACAGTTCCACAATCTCTACTCCAATCTTTCCAACTGGAACCAACAATTCCCAATTCTGGGAATTACAGACCAGTCAGTCTTACTTCTGTGGTGGACAAATTATTGGAGAGGATTCTGAGAGATAGTATTTATGATTATTTGGAAAAGCACAGTTTGATTAGAAATAGTCAGCATGGCTTTGGGAAGGGCAGGTCATGCCTCACAAGCCTTATTGAATTCTTTGAGGATGCAACAAAACACATCGATGAAGGTAGAGCAGTGGATGTGGTGTATATGGAATTTAGCAAGATATTTCATAAGGTTCCACATGGTAAGCTCATTCAGAAAATAAGGAAGCAATTGGTTGTCTGGCTACAGAATTGGCTGTCCAATAGAAGATAGAGGGTGGTAGTAAATGGAAAGTATTCAGCCTGGAGCTCGGTGACCAGTGGTGTTCTGCAGGGATCTGTTCTGGGACCTCTGCTCTTTGTGATCTTCATAAATGGCTTTGATGAGGAAATGGAAGGGTGGGTTAGTAAGTTTGCCAATGACACAAAGGTTGATGGAGTTGTGGACAGCGTGGAGGGCTGTTGTAGGTTGCAGCAGGATGCAGAGCTGGGCAAAGAACTGGCAGATGGAATTCAACCCAGAAAAAAGTGTGAAGTGATTCATTTTGGAAGGTTGAATTGAATGCAGAACACAGGGTTAATGGCAGTGTGGAGAAACAGAGGGATCTTGGGGTCCACGTCCATAGATCCCTCAAAGTTGCCACCCAAGTTGATAAGGCTGTTAAGAAGGCTAATGCTGTGTTGGCTTTCATTGGCAGGAGGATCGAGTTTAAGAGCCGCGAGGTTATGCTGCAGCTCTATAAAACCCTAGTTAGTCCATACTTGGAATATTGTGTTCAGTTCTGGTCGCCTCATTATAGGAAGGATGTGGAAGCGTTAGAGAGGGTGCAGAGGAGATTTAGCAGGATGCTGCCTGGAATGGAGGGCAGATGTTATGAGGAAAGGTTGAGGGAGCTAGGGCTTTTCTCATTGGAGCGAAGAAGGATAAGAGGTGACTTGATAGAGATGTACAAGATGATGAAAGGCATAGGTAAAGTGTCATGGAGTCATAGAGATATACAGCACGGAAACAGACCCTTTGGTCCAACACGTCCATATTGACCAGATATCCTAAATAAATCTAGTCCATTACAGCATTACCTAAATCCCTCTCGACCCTTCCTACTCATATACCCATCCAGATGCCTTTTAAATGTTGTAATTGTACCAGCCTCCACCACTTCCCCTGGCAGCTCACTCCACACACGCACCACCCTCTGCATGAAAAGCCGCCCCCAGGTCGGCCAGAAACTTTTTCCTAGGGTGAAAATGACTATTACGAGGGGGCATAATTTTAAGGTGACTGGAGGAAGTTATAGGGGAGATGTCAGAGGTAGGTTCTTTACACAGAGAGTGATGGGTGCGTGGAATTCACTGCCAGAGGTGGCAGTAGAGTCAGATACGTTAGGGACATTTAATCCTGGATAGGCACGTGGATGACAGTAAAATGCAGGGTATGCAGGGTAGTTTGTTCTTAGAGTTGGGTAATAGGTCGGCACAACATCGTGGGCCGAAGGGCCTGTACTGTGCTGAACTGTTCTATGTTCTATGTTCTAACCACTGGCCTCCTAAGTAACATGCATGTAGCAAGGCAATCGCCATTTCCAAGGAACAGGAACCTAATCATCTCATCTTGATACCTGACACTACTGTGTTACGAAGTGGATAACTGAAATCGAAACACCCAGACAGGAGCACCTCACCCTATATAATCTGTTTAAAGCAGTGTGAAACGTGGTGTAAACTGCTTTTCCGCAACTTCTAGTTGTTAAATAAAATAAACCCCTGATACTCACTTTACAATCGACAAGTAATAATTTATTTCTCTAACAGTGAACCAACATAAATTATTAACAAACCAAAGAAGCGCCTAACTACTAACTATTCCCGAATAAAACAAGATTCTACTGGTATGCTGTTCCAATAAATACAATCCCCACTTCCATAAATAAAATTTTAAAAAAAGAATTTACTGTCCTGAAATTATAGCCAGGTTAAGGGTCTTCTGGAATGTTCTGTGCCTTCTCCGTCAAATATGCTGTCAGGAACCGCTTCTCCATCGAATTCTTATGTCAGGAATATTAATTAGTTGTGCCGTAGGTACCTTGGATTTAGATAGTACTTTCTCCAAAAATTAGAGAACTCTTTGAGAGCGAATGATTCTCTCGAGAGCTAAGAGCTGTTAACTCTTGCAGATGGCAGTTTGCTCTCCTGATTTTCCAACTGCTCTTTTCTTTTATACCCTTGATGACATATCAATTTCTTACAACAGGATTGGTCCGATGTTGTCAAAACCAGCAGATTTAAAGTTAACTGGTTTTTAGTCTCTCAGTGCCTGAATCAAATTGATTGGCTAAATCAAAATTTGTCTTGATAACAAAACAAAACTGCTGCTTGGCCTGCTAACTGTACAGCTTTTTGATACAAATGTTTCAATTAAAGTGCTTTCCCTGCACCTGCAAACCCACAAGCTGCTCTCCAATATCCTTTTTAAATTTCTAAACATAGAAAAAGTACATCGTCTTTTAAAGGGACCATGCACTGCTGCTCCCCCTTAGCATTTTACAAACACCAAATTCTAACTTCCTGCCTCCCAATCAACAAGCACGCTACCCAACTTTGCAATATCAACCCCGCTTAAGAAAAAAAAGAACCATTATTAAAAGATGGCTTCATTTTTTTTGCCTAAAACCTTAACTCCCTAATATTACTAGATTCATATCTCACTAATCTGGAGTTACCCATTTCATACTAATGCTTTTTACATTTAACACTGAACACTAACGTTTCTATCTTATATAAACATTTTTCTTTTAAACCTGCGATAATGCATTTCGATAATATTTTCACAACCCGCAACACGTACAATTTGTAAATTAAATGCTTATAACATGAGAGCACAGCAAAATATTCTGGTGCTCTTGTCCTTAAATCTTTCTTGAAACGTCAAAGGATTGTGATCAGTATACACAATCATCTCTGATACATTGTTTACAATGCAAATATTAAAATGTTGTAAGGCCATTACCAAACTCAATAACTTTTTTTAATGGTTGAATATTTTTCTGGTGGATATCAAGTCTTTTCTTAAAAAAAAAATTTGTCTTTCAATTCCACAATCATCCTCCTGTAACACAGTTCCAACATCTATTTTGCATGTGTCTTCAGTGACTTTAAAGGATTTCAAGAAATTTGGTGTAGCTAAAACTGGTGCGGTGGTTAATAGGGCTTTTAAATTCTCAAATGCCTCCTGGCATTGTTCTGTCGAGTGAAATTTCATGTTCTTTTTTAACATATCTGTCAGTGGTGCCACGACTCCATTAAAGTTTGGTACAAATTTATTGTAGAGCCCGTTCAGTCCTAAAAATCGTATCACTTCCTTCTTCGAGGAGGGTCTTAGAAATTCCTCAATGGCCTTTGTCTTCACGTTCTTCGGTGTCATCCGTCCATGTCTGATGTTATACCCTAAGGATGTCACTTCCACCTTTGTGAATTCTGTTTTTGCCAAGTTTATGACCAACTTTGCCTTCCATAATCTCTCAAAGAGCTCTGCCAAATGCTCTATGTGATCTTTCCACAAATGGCTGAAGAACGCTAAGTCACTTATGTAGACGGCACAATTAGTCAATCCTGCAACAACTCTGTTCATAAGTTTTTGAAAAGTGGCTGGTAGTTTTTTATTCCAAAGGGAATTACTTTAAATCGATATAGCCCATTTGGAGTTACAAAAGCAGAAACGTCTTTCATTCTCTCCAATAAAGGTACTTGCCAGTAACCATGAAATAAGTCCAACTGTATGATTTAAGTGGCTTGTCCTACTTTTTCCACACAGTCCTCCAGCCTTGGATTTGGTTACAAGTCAGGTTTAGTCACGGCACTGACCTTCCGATAATCCATGCAGAATCATCAGATGGTGAGTACCATCAGATTTGGGGACCAACATGATCAGCAAGGTTCACTCGCTGTGACTTGGCTCAATGATGTCTTCTTGGAAGCATTGCTTCCACTTCCTTCTGAACCTGCGTTGCTTTGACAGGATTAAGCCTGTAGGGGTGTTGTTTTATCGGAACAGCATTTCCTACTTCAACCTCATGTACTAGGGTATTCAACTCCCTCATTCTATTTCTATATATGTCCTCATAGCACTGTATCAAGTCATTCAATTCAGTTCTCTGTTCCTGTGTCAGATATCTCACGACCCTATCCCATTCTTTAAGGACTTCCTTATTATTCAATTTATTCTGAGGCACATCAAAATCCAAATCATCTGGATTTGATTCCTTACTCTGAGGGGCAGTAACTAATACCTGTTTCTCCGGTTCCCGTTCTTGTCATAGTAAGGTTTCAGCATATTCACATGACATACCCAATAAAGTTTTTTCTAATCTGGCATCTTTACCAAATAATTTACATGACTCAACTTCTTCTTAATCTGATAGGTCTCTCCATACCTTGCTCTGAAGGGATCTCCTACCATTGGTGACAACAGCAATACTTTATTCCCATGGGCAAACATAAGAATTTTAGATTTTTTATCTGCTTCTTGCTCTGCCACCTTCAAATGTTGTCTAGCTAATTCACCTAC